TGATTTTTCATGGCTTAATAGCTCATTTCTTTTTAGTGTTGAACAGTGTATTCCATTCCCCAATATACCAGTTTGTCTGTTCATCTACTAATAGACATTTTGGCCGATTTCATGTTTAGCAAGTACAAATAAAGTGGATATCTATGATAGGTTCTTCTGTGAACATAAACGTTCAATTCATTTGGTATATGCCAAGGAGCATGATTGCTGGATTATATGGTAATAGTATGTTTACTTTTGTAAGAAACTGCCAAACTGTCTTCCAAAAATAGCTCTACCATTTTACATTCCCACCAGCAATGAATGAAATATTATTCCACATCTTCAATATTTGGTATTGTCAGAGTTTTAGATTTTGGTCATTCTCACAGATGTGTGCTGGAATCTCCTTGGTTCAATGTGCAACTCCCTTGAGACACAGGGTGTTAATATACTCACTTGCCTCGTGTATATCTTCTTTGGTGAGATTTTTTTTTTACCATTTTAACTATTTTTTCATTGTTTTAAAAATCTTTTCCTACCCAGGTGTGTTGATGTACACCTGTAATCCCAACACTTGGGGAGGCTGAGGCAGGAGGATTGCTGTGAGTTTTAGAGGCCAGCCTGGGCTACATAGTGAGCTCAAGGCCAGCCCAAAGTACACAGCAAAACCTTATCTCAAAAAAGACAAAAAATTTTTTTTTTCTTATTGAGTTTTAAGAATTCTTTGTATAATTTATCAGATGTGTCTTTTGCAAATATTTTCTCCCAAACCACAGCTCATTTTCTCATTCTCTTGGCATATTTCATAGAACAGAAGTTTTTAATTTAATTTAATTTAATTTTTATTTATTATTTTTGGTACTGGGGATCGAACTCGGGTCCTTGTGCTTGCACAGCAGGTGGCGAAACCACTGAGCTAAATCCCCGGCCTAGAAGTTTTTAATTTTAATGGTGAGCTTGTCAATTGTTTCTCTGATGTTATATCCAAAAGGTCATCATATCCAAGGTCACCTAGGTGTTCTATGTTATCTTCCAAGAGTTTAACAGCTTCTTGTTTTATATTTGGGTCTCTGATTCATTTTAAGATCATCTTTTTGTGAAGGGTATAAGGTCTGTGTCTAGATTAATTTTCTCCATGTGGATGTGTAATTGTTCCAGTGCTGAAAAGACTATCTGCTCTGTTGTATTGTCTTTGCTGTCAGGATCAGTTGACTCTATTTATAAGTCTATTTCAGACCTCTCTATCCTGTTTACTGATCAAACTGTCTATTCTCTAGCACCATACCATGTTGATTACTGCAGCTTTATAGTAAATCCTTTTTATTAGTACATGTTTGCAGTACACAATGACTACATTCCTTGTGGGGAGTTGGTACATGTACATAACACATCTCAGTTCTCTTTTTCATCCCCTTCCCTCCCTTCCTCTATCTCTTAATCCCCTTCCCCTCTGAGAAAGATCTATCTTCCTATTATCTTTTACTTGTTCTTTATATTTTGAGTTTCTCATATAAGAGAAAGCATGGAATATTTTAGTGTGTGTGTCTGATTTATTTCACTTAACATTATGGTCTTAACGTGCATCCATTTTCCAACAAATGAGTCAAGTTTATCCTTTTTATGGCAGAGTAGCACTCCATTGTGTATAAATACCACATTTTTTAAATCCATTCATTCATCTGTTGGTGGACATATGGGCTCCTTCCAAGATTTAGCTGTTATGAACTATGCTGGTATAAACATAGGCATGCATATATCACTGTAATATGATGTCTTTAATTCTTTCAGGAAGATATCTAGAAGGTGAACAGCTGGGCTGAATGGAATTTCTGGTTTTACTTTTTTTAAATTGGCACACTGATTTCCATAGTGGTTGAACTAGTTTGCATTCCCACCAACAATATAGAAGGGTTCCTTTTCCCCCTGCAGCCTTGCCAGTGTGTTACTATTTGATTTCACCACACCAGGCCTGTCTTATTTTGTAGTTTTTCTTATACCTATCTTGTTAGATTAATACCTAAATATTTCATGTTTTGGGTTATAATATAATGTAGTAAAACCTTTTTTAAAAAAAATTTTCACAGTTTCTCACACCAGAAAAACAATGTGGTATTTAAACATGTGTATCCAATTTATTTCACTTAAAGAGTATGGTCTCAAGGTGCATCCATTTAGCTATAAATGTCTGAAGCTCATCCTTCTTTATGGCAGAGTAGTACTCCATTGTATAAAAAACCCACATCTTTATCCACTTGTCAGTTAATGGGCATTTGGGCTGTTTCCAAGATTTAGCTATTACAAACTGTGCTGCTATAAACATGGGTGTGCATATATTGCTGCAGTATGATGCTTTTAATTCTGTTGGGAAGATACCAAGAAAAGGTATACTTGTGTCAAATGGAACCTCTAGTTTTAGTGTTTTGAGATATCTCCATACTGATTTCCACAGTGGTTGCGCCAGTCTGCACGCCCACCAACAGTTGAGGAGGATTCCTTTTTCTCCACAGCCCCACCAGCATTTGTTATTGGTTGATTTCTTGATAGCAGCCATTCTTTCTGGGGTGAGGTGGAATCTCACCATTGTTTTAATTTGCATCTCTCAAATGACCAGTGATGTTGAACATTTTTTCATATATTTATTTGCCATTTCTAATTCTTTTTTTTTTTTGGTACCAGGGATAGAACTTGGGACCTTTCGCTTTCGAGGCAGGCACCAGAACCACTGAACTAAATCCCCGGCCCTTGCCATTTCTAATTCTTTACCTGAGAAGTGTCTTTTTATTTCAGATGCCCATTTTTGCAATGGCTCTTTAAATTTGAGGGATCTGATTTTTTTTTTAGTTCTTTATATATTCTAAATAACAGTCCTTTATCTGAACAGCTGGTAAAAAATTTTTCCCACACTGTGGGTTGTCTCTTCACTCTTATGGTGGTTTCTCTTGCTGTGCAAAAGTTTTTTAATAAGATGAGGTCCCAGTTGTTGATTCTTTGTAGTATTTCCCATGCAGTCTGGGTTTCGTTCATGAAGTCTTTGCCTACTCCTATGTCCTCAAGCTTTCTACCTATTCTCTCTTCCAGTAGATTCAGTGTTTCTGTTTTAATATTTAGATCTTTGATCCATTTTGATTTTAGCTTAGTGCATGGTGAAAAATATGGGTCTAGTTTCAATCTTTGGCACGTGGAAAGCCAGTTTTTCCAGCACCATTTATTAAAGACGCTATCTTTCTTTCAGTGAAGGTATTTGGCTCCATTGTCAAAGATAAGGTGTCTGAGTGTGTTTGGAGTTGTTTCTGCATCCTCTAGTCTGTTCCATTGGTCCTCAGGTCTGTTCTTTTGCCAGTACCATGCTGTTTTTATTACAATAGCTTTGTAGTATAATTTCAGGTCAGGGATTGTGATACCTCCTCCCTTGCCTTTGTTGCCCAGAATTAGCTTTCCTATTCCAGGTCTCTTCAGTTCCAAATGAATTTTAGGATTTTTTTTTCTAATTCTGTGAGATATTCTGTTGGGATTTTGACTGGGATTGCACTGAATCTGTGTAACAATTTTGGAAGTATGGCCATTTTCACTATATTGCCTCTTCCTATCCAAGAACAATGTACATCTTTCCATTTTCTGATATCCTCTTCAATTCCTTTTTCAGAGTACTGTAGTTTTCAATGTAGAGGCCTTTTGCTTCCTTCATTAGATTGATTTCTAGGTATTTCATTTTTTTTGGTATGCTATTGTGAAAGAGATTGTTTCTCTAATTTCTCTCTCTGTGAGTCTGTTATTTGTGTACAGGAAGGCTATTGACTTTTGAGTGTTGCTTTGTATCCAGCTACACCACTGAATTTGAATTTGATTATCAAATCTAAAAATCTTTCGGTGGAGTGTAAAATGCATTTTTTATTTCAAATTCCACTTGTACACTGCTGATATACAGAAAAGCAGTTGATTTTTGTATATTAACCTTGTATCCTGCATTCTTACTATAATCACTTAGTAGTTCCAAGAGTGTGTGATTGTTTTTTGTGGTACTGTGATTGAAACTCAGAGCCTTTTGTATGACAGGCAAGGACTCTACCACTCAGCTAAATCCCAGCCCCTTAGAAAATAAGGCATTTTAAAAATTAAAATTTTTAAATAAAACTAAGTTGAATCTCAAAAAAAATTACTATGTAGAAATAATGAATGTTAAATGCTTTCTGCAGAGTAAATATGTTCAATATTATGATAAAATACAAAGAACTACAAACTAGGAGATTTAAAAACTGTAACTGATAAAAAATGAAAGAAGAATCTCTTCCTATTTACTTTCTAATCATGTGGCCTGCAACAAACAACTGCATGGTCCCAGAAAATCCCTGGACTATTCAAATGTTGGTTATTCGTGTCATTTTAAGGGACTAAAGTGACATTCTGAAGATATACTAGTGCACATAACATCTGTCAACAGTGCCTTTTTTTTTTTTTTTTTGGTATCGGGGATCAAACTCAGGTCCTTGCACTTGGGCAGCAGGCAGCGAAACCACTGAGCTAAATCCCTGGCCCTAACACTGCTTATTTAGAAGGGCGTAAAAGGTAGAGAATGTTATCAGTCACAATGTGTCTAAAGTGTAACATTCTCAAAAGTTTGGGAATCATTTTTGTCACAAAGCCTATATTCACCTGCACAGATGAAAAGATGAAATGTCTCAGAATAATAACATAGTAAATAAGGGAAGCCAACTTTTCTTTTTCAGTACTGGTGATGTGACGGAATGCAGGGACGCTCTACCACTGAGCTACATCCTAGCCCTTCTTATTTATTTATGTATTTATTTTTTGAGACAAAAGTCTTACTATGTTGCCCTGGCAGGACTCAAACTTTCTATTCTCCTGCCCCAGGCTCCCTCAGTGCTTGGATTACAGGTGTGCACTACTGTGCTCGGTTGGAAAACTGACTTTCTGGAATAATTTGTTATATATTTAGGCAACTGGTATTCATAATCAGATCTTGTTAAGGTCTGTATGTGCCAAGTAATGTGTAAAAATACCTTTGCTTTTCAGGAATCTGCAGGTGCTCAAAGTATAATTGGCCCAGGGAATTTATGCTCATTATAACCTCTTTTTCAGATACCAAGTCTATCTTGAAAGGGTTTGCTGTGATATGACACTTTAGATCTCCTTTTCCATCGGAAAGTATCAGACTTTCTGTATCCCCTGAGCATGAAATCAGCCTGGAAAACAAAGCAGGAAGAGAAAAATCAATTGCCATAGGTTTACAAGGTTACATAGGTTTACATAGGTTACATGGTTTATGTAATTTTCAATTCCAATTAACAGCATAGGGCAATAAAAAACTGTCAGTGAGAGTGTAGGCTTTGGCGTTAGAGAGCTTGGATTGAACATGTCTACCAGGATAACAAAGTTATCCAACCTTTCTGTTGTTTTCTCTATAAAGGATAAAGAATAAAAGCAACTACAAACAAGTTTTTAGAGAGAACTGAGTGAGACTGTCTGTAAAGCACTTGGCACAGGGCCTGACATGTAATCACTTAACAAAGGTAAACTGTCATCATCTTTAATTCTGTCTATAAAGTCTAGTGATACTTTGGTACGTAGAATTTATCAGGCTGGGGATTTAGCTCAGTGGTTCTGCCACCTGCCTCACAAGCACAAGGTCCTGAGTTCAATCCCCGGTACGTAGAATTTAAATACTGCTTTTCTTTCTCATCCCAATAATAAGTTCAGGAACTGAGAAAATAAAATAGAGTGGATTCACAGGGAGACGAAAATAGGCCAGTTTTTATTTAACTATTTATGGTCTGACTGCTATCAGCCTCCAATTTGACAGATTGGATGTTTTGGATCCTCAGGCTATAAGCTCAGAACCAGCACTCAAAATCCCTCAGAGGTCTAGATATCTCCTTTTCTCTAGTGCACTATAACCCTGGTAAATAGCATAGGATTCTTTAGGATGGTTGGGAGGGATGGTTTATGCTCTTTCCCCCCCTTGGTTGGATTAAGGATGCCCTAGTGTTAGGGGGACCCTATGATTGAGCTATGTCCCCAGTCTTTTTTGAGACAGGCCTCAATAAATTGTTCAGTGTGGGCTCAAATTTGTGATCCTCCTAAGTAACTGGGATTACAGGTGTGGACTACTATGCCTGATTTAGTCTGTATTATTATTTTGTCTGTTCAGTCCTTATCCATGGATTCTAGGGTTTCCCTTGAAGCAGGATACATGGGTCCTGGTGTGTTATGGAGAACAATGTCCACCTTGTCTCTGAACTAAATGCTGCTACCTTGCTTCTGCTACCCAGGGTCTCATCTTCTTTACTCAAATCAGAGCCCATTTTACTGCCATCATTTCCTAGTCCCCAAAAGAAAAGACATCCACTACAGTGCTCTCCAAGTGTTCTCACACCCATGTATTTCTTAATCAAGGAGTATCTTCTGGATCCTCTTGCAAAAGGGCTAGGGGCTATGTGACCTGGTTGCATGTAACAATTCCACTTCAACATCTTTATCTCCTTAAGTCTATGGATCATTTCTTCTATATTGTATTATGGAATTTGTGGATCTTAACTTCAGTTAGAATCCATAGCTGAGCTCAGTTTGTATTTAACCAACCAAGAAAACAATGTATACCATTGTTAGCTGCCCAAGCTAGCAAATCAAATCTGTATTTTCTGGTACATGTGCTTGTCAATAAAATTAGCTTGATCTAGGGCTGGGGATTTAGCTCAGTGGTTTTGCCGCCTGCTGCGCAAACACAAGGACCCGAGTTCGATCCCCGCTGACAAAAAACAAACAAACAATTATCTTGATCTAAAATTGTTAAAATAGTAGGTGAAGAAAAACCAGAATGTACAACATACAAAACTGATACATTTATCCTCATATAACTGAATGAAAATGATTATAGATTTGAATGGGTAAAGTAGGAGGCACATACAAAATCTACTCAAGGTGTGATAAAAGAACATACTGAGGGTGTATCAATGATACCTTTTCCTTGGCTCACCTTACAGTGCTCAGCTTGCCAACGAGGACATCAGAAACCTCATACCTGGGTTTCAATGGAGTCTCTTCATTGATTTTAAGCCTGATAATGTTTCTCTCTATACCATAAACTTCAGCCAGGAGAGGATGCTGGGAACAGATACATAAGATTAGCTTCAACAGAGTACCCCAATAATAATTTGTTCTACTTGTCAAATTACAATAATTAGAAAAATAATTTTACATTATTATAAGCCAAACAAATTGGAGAACAAGGCCGGGGATTTAGCTCAGTGGTTCCGCCGCCTGCCTTGAAAGCACAAGGACCCGAGTTCGATCCAGTACCAAAAAACAAAACAAACAAAACAAACTGGAGAACAATGGCAATAATAAAAACAACAACCTCCCCAATCTACGCATGTACTTGCTCAGCTATACCTGTGATTGCAAAAGAAACAACTTCTGTGTGTTCTATGGATAGGTAAACATATACTGGTCCAAGACAGAATCTCTAGAGTGAAAGGGATCTCTATGAATAATTACTACACTGGATAATAGGCACAAGCTGAAACAGGTCTTGGATAATTGGGACATATATACCTATGATAAGCTACAGATGAGGTGAGAATAACAGGGTGTTAAAACCAGACCAACTAGATTCCAGCTGAATAAAAGAGGATAGAAAGCTACAGAAAGAAAAGAGTAATATGATGATTGCTGGGGTTCTCTAGTGGAAGATGACATGAAGCTTGCCACTCTAAAACCAAAAGACTTGTAACTGGGAATAGGCCCAGAGAATATTCTCAATGGGCTTGGAAATTAGGTAAGATTTTACCTATAATGGAAGATGTATGTGACACAGAACTATGAAGAGAGAAAATCTGAAAAATAAAACACAAAACAAGATGAACAAACCCTGATAGAACAGAAATGGCCAGATGCAGGTTACAAAATGAGTCATCAGGACTCAGAGGAATATTGTAAGACTATATGGGTTTCACTTGATGTGCTATGCCACACTGTTCTACTGCAAATTCTTCATGAAGTGTGATTTGAGTTTTGGGTACAAGTGGGGACCTACATTAATATGTCTATTATAGCAAAGGCTAAGTTGGGTAGGTACAATGTGGTGGAATCAAGAGGTAGGAAGTGTGGAAAATATCAAGGAACACCAAAAAAAGGAATGTTACTGAAAGTTTGCCCTTGAGAATATAAGATAAGAGATTGCTTAAACAGTGATATGGCAAGGACCCTGGTACCAAAAAAAAAAAAAAAAGCAGTGATAAGATACTGAAGAGTAACACAAGTAGTACTATGGCTGCGGACGCTTTAAAGGCATTTTAAGGATTATGTTATAGTAGTGATCATACTGTAATTACTGTTTACACATTTAATTTTTTTGCATATTTGAACTGTTCTAAGTGTGCAATCTTAACATTAAGTTCAGAATTTTAGTTTAGAATCTTAACATCTGAAAATGCGTCTAGGGCCAGGGATTTAGCTCAGTGGTTCCACCGTCGGCCTCACAAGCGCAAGGTCCAGAGTTCAATCCTCAGTACCAAAAAAATAAAAATAAAAATAAATTAAAAAAACAACAAAGATGGCTCTGTATGTTCTGTTGTTAAGGCTACAATCCAGGAAAGAATCTTAATTATATGAGAAGAGGTAACAATAACCCTGCTTTTACAATAGTGAGCTATGTAAAAATCAGAGTTAAATTCTGTTAAAAATTTTTAAAAATTTAATTTAGAAAATTTTCCCAATAGGGTGGATCTCTTTAAGGTCAATATCTAGATTTATTTCTCTGTCGCTGTCTCTGTTTTTTCTTCTCTCTCTTTGGTGCTGGGGACGGAATCCAAGGCATGCTAAACACAGGCTTACTGCTGAGGTGCACCCACAACCCCTAGATAAGTAATGGCAAACCTTTCAGAGACGAGTGCCCAAACTACAACCCAAAACACACTTATTTATCACAAATTGCCAACATTGCAATTAAAACTGAATACTGAAGTTTTAGTTTAGAAAAAAAACCTCATACATTAACATCTTTTGTCTTAAAAGAAAAACAAGTAATATATGTACCATGGGTTTGCCACCACTGTTCTAGGTACATAATTCCCTTAGATCTTTGGGTTTTTTGGGGTTTTTTTGGTACCTGGGATAGAACTTAGGACCTTGAGCTTGCAGGGCAGGCACAGTGCCAACGACCTAAATCCCCAGCCCTTCCCTTAGATCTTAATATGCATGTGCTCTTAAGATCTGGTTAATGCTGTATTTTCTATTAGCTTAATTTTTAAAATATCAGGCATTTAAATCTGGGTGTGGTGATGTATGCTGTAATCCCGGCACTTGGGAGACTGAGGCAGGAGAATCACCATGAGTTTGAGGCAAGCCCGGGCTCCACAGTGAGTTCAAGGCCATCCTGGACAAGATAGCAAGGCCCTGTCTCAAAAAAAAAAAAATCAACAAAAAAATATGTGTATGTATCGGGACATTTCAAAAAGTCTAATAAGAAGAATCACTTGAAAAGTCTCAGAGCTCCCATCTTGAGCCCCAACCCCTTCCTGCACTGAACTCTGAGGTACCTCCATGGAAACTTCAGCACTCTGTAAATGAGTTTAAAAACCATTTCCTGAGGCTTCTTAACTGACAATCATTGCCCAATTCTTTCCTCACAAACCTGCTCTTTCCAAAATTCTATGTACGGGCCGGGGATTTAGCTCAGCGGTTCTGCCACCTGCCTCACAAGTGCAAGGTCCCGAGTTCGATACCTGGTACCAAAAAAAAAAAGTCTATGTAAAACACTAAGAGTTTCTATTTATTCCTGTTCTTATTTGCTATGGAACTATCTGGATATTTATGAACAAGTAAATTGACAAATCTCTTCCTCCAATTAGTGATGCTTGGAAACGACAATGAAAAAATATATTAAGAAGGTAAGTTATGCAAAGTGGGTTGCTAAAACTGAGAACCTTCTTTTTTTCCCTTTGCACTTGAGTCCCTTTCTCATGCCTTTGAGTCCTTTTGTTGCTTCACCCTCTTCTTCCCTTTGCCCCTCTTCCCGTTTCTGCTACAATCCCACGATCTTCAATAAATGTAGCTACTTACTACATACTCTGAAGTGTACACTTGGCAATTCTTTCCTTGGCGTACACAAGAGCCTGCACTATGTTTGGCCCACTCAACTGTAGCATCTGGCGAGCCAAGCCAGGAGGACTCTACCAAACCTTGGGAGACCTCACCAGACTCTGGAGGCATCAGCAACCCAGTAACCTTCAGAGACCTTGGCAGAAGCGAGCAAGCAGAAAACCCAGCCAGCAAGGAAGGTCTAAAATACCATCAAACTACTGGTGGTGACCATAATTTGAGATCAAAACCCGCTTCCACGTCCATGGTCCATCAAGAAATCTTCTAGCACCTTTGTACTCATACATAACTTTTAAATTTCAATATCCAATTCTTCATTTACAGCAAATATACACAGACCTGAATTTTTATATATACCTTGTGTTTTCTTTTTCTTTTTTATGTTTTTTTGGTATTGGGGACTGAACTCAGGTCCTTGCGCTTGGACAGCAGGCAGAGAAACCACTGAGCTAAATCCCCGGCCCTACCTTGTGTTTTCTAATCCTGCTAAATTCAAATACAAGTTCTAGGGGCTCCTAGAGATTTCTTAGTATTTTCTCTGTAGATGATCA